TTTTTTGTAATTAAATAATAAAATAGCTGGAAATTCGGTTTGAATACCTTTAATGCAGTATATAATAATAGCAATACCGGTATAATACCGGTATTACCGAAATATTATACCGTGTACCGGTATTATGAAAATTTCGGTTGAATACCGGTATTTGACGTCTAATACCGGTATTTGGTCTCGATTTTTCGTATACCGCTATTATTGATACCGGTATATAGTTATTACTAAAAGTATTTCGGTTTTTAGTCCCTGATCTTATTGAATACCGAAAAATACCGGTATTTTTCATATCGTTATAAATCCCTGATTTAAAGTAATTTCATTTTAAGAAAAATTGAGACATTCTGATCTCAAAAATAATTTTTTTTCGAAATTAATTTTTTTTTAAACTTAAGTTAATTCAATCTTAATTTAACTTTTATTAAGTCAATTTTTTATTCCTTCAATTTTTAACTTAATTTTATTAATTTTATAAGCCATTAACTTTAACTTACCCAATCCTGCAAAAATTATATACATATATACATCTATGATACAAAATATTGAAAATATTTAATATAACAGAGATTAAAAACCTTTGATATAATTTATATGAATAAAACATAAATTATATAATAAATTATGATCCCATCGACATTTTCGAAAACAAAGAAAAATAAATTTTAAATAAGTCAAAGGATTATAAAGACATTTCTTACACAGCACACTTCATTCGAGGGTTGTTGAAATCTATTTCGCTTACGAACTTACTCTACGCCCTACTACATCCCCAACTACAAGTGATTGATCAATCAATAGGTATCTATTTAACGTCGATCGATGTTGAATCAACATCGATCGACGTCGAGCAATCATTTCTGGCTGGGCCGGGAAACCAGTTTATTCCCGACCACGGTTGCCAGGTCTTCAAATTTCGACTGGAAACTCTAGTTTTCGGCATCAATCTCTAGTTCTCCAATAGACGGGAAAAATCTCCAGTTTTTCGCTCGCGTGGGGTATTTATTAATTGCATATTTAAATTACGTGGAAATTAATAAGAAAGTCTGTGATTATATTCGCAGTTCGTTATTTTACGAATGATAAAAAAATTTGTAATTCTGTTCACACTATATGTAATTATTGTAATAATAATAAAAAGGTCTCTGTGATTGTGTTGACACTTTATGTCGGTCAAATATTAATGACAAAAAGAAAGTCTGTAACAGTGGTCGCAAAACACGAATTAAACTCTGCGCCTTTTTTTCTCTTTTTTTTTAATGAAACAATCGGGAGGCCTCCAGTCGAAATATGAAATCTCCAGCGCATGGACCTTCGGGCCCCAGCCGTTCGGGACCTGACAACCGTGCTCCCGACATGTCTACAGCCTCTACTGCTACTACCCATTGTAGACCACGCAATAGGTAGTGTATAGTAGTATAAGGACACGATGCAACCTCTCGCTGTCGGATAAGACTCGTAGTAGTTGAAATAAATACAAACACAGATAACTCGCAGTAGTACTAGTCGCGGTCAGACATCGTGGCGCACAGTAGTAAGATCGCGACGATGCGCCGACCTTCCAATTTTTTAGCTTTCAATTTTCTTAATTCTTCCCTTATTAAAAACGATTCAAACGATCTTTATGATTCAATTCTATCATTGTTCTAATATTCGATTGATCAAGAAAGACTTTCATAGTCGATTCTTATATTTAAGTCTGTCTTAAGTATAAGGCAGGTGTGCGTTCGGAATTGACGCTCACTCGCTGTAAGCTTTATTCTATCTTTATCACTTTCGTTATTATTCGTAAAAAGAAAATGAAGCTTACAGCGCGTGAGCGTCAATTCCGAACGCAGCCACAGTTTCGTAGAATCCCTTTCGTCTACTAATTTATAATTATAGTCTGTTTGCGTTACTTGTATTCCAATTTACTTCAAAGTTGCATTAAAAAATTCTTTAATTTTATCTGAAATTTTGAATAAAAGTATCTGGAAAAAATTCAGGATTATTTTTCAATATTACATTATTTACTAAATGATTTTTTAATTAAAATGTTAAAAGCTTTATTTAATAAAAATTGAAATTGTAACAAAATTAAGGATAAAAGGAGAGTTAAATTTCGTGCCAAAAAAGATCCAGATTGCAGGATGATTTTGAAATAAAAACAAACTATGAAATTACCGATCTGAGAATTGCATCCGGACGATCCTTCCATCACTCGAAGGTGCAGAGGATCAAAGCGAAGGCATTACGATATCATCGACGCAACGTGCGGCTCTATTTCGATCGCGTTGATCGCCGATTACGGTAGCGTGAACGACGAAGCGAGGGGAAGCGGCTGACTAGCTGGAACTTCCTCTGATATAGGTTGCTGCTGCGGGACGTGGGTCGCGCTCACGTGTCTCAGAACGTGCGGCCGACTTATCGCGACGAGGATCGAGTCTAGGCCGAGAGAGCCGGTGTCGGCGAGTCAGTCCGCGCGTGGAAACCGGCGAGTGTCAAACCCGCCCGTCGTCGCGCACCTCTGGAAGCAAAACAGTCTCCACGCGAACGCCATCCTCCTCCTCTTCGTCTTCATCCTTCCTGTCAGATCCACGATCAGATCCGCAAGGGTGAAGGACAAGATGAATCGTGAACTCGTCGCGAGTGCGTGTGCATGGTGAGGGGCAGTTTTGAAGCGCGTTTCTTTTTATCGAGAGAAAATTTCGTATTTCGAGCAGCGCAGAATGGAGGAAGTATCCGTGGACAATACCAAGGATTCGGGGTACTCCAACACCTGCAGCAACAGCCAGTCGCAACGCAGGTGAGTGCGATATGCATTTTTTTCGCGCTCGCTAAGATTTTTGGTCATTATATTTTTGACTGGCGAGACTGTCTTAGACTATGTGAAAACAGCAATGATATCACTTTCCTTTGATTTATGGATAAAAAATGGTTTTTCCAAACGGAATAAAATATCAAAGTTTCGCTCACAACAATTAATTTATTATATTCATATTTTATTTTTTTCTTCAAATCATCAGCGTCTTAAATTTTATCGATCGAAACAGATCTGAAAATAATTTTGTTGACCATCAAAGTTATTTTGTAGGAATCTCAAGCAATATGAGAGCGATGTTGCACAAAGATTTTAA